ATTTTCACTGATGACTTTTTTATTTTTTTTTGAAGTATGATGAAGGAGAAGATTCTATGCATGAGGATTTTGATTTCAAGTTGTTGATAGACATACAAAATGGCTGTCCTGTGCGGTCGCTGTCGTGGTCACCGGTGACATCGTACAAGTCGTACGAACAGCCAGACACTGTCAGGTATTACTATTTGGATATATTTGTTTATTCAGTGAGTATGCCTTTACCACTACGTGTAGCCTAAGGGCTAATGGATTACTTTTAAATATAAAGATGAATCAGTAGTTTTCATTTTAAAGGTCAAAGGATGCTAACATCAAATGTAATAGAGAGGGCACATTAAATGGTTTGTCATGAATACGTTCTATTTCCACTATAAAAGAGTTATAGTTCTTAGTGCGCTCTTTTGTGAAAAAGTCTGAGAATGTACAAATCTTGCGGGATTTTTGGGACAAACGTAACATAAACATGTAATAAACAACACGTTAAATGTCGATGAAGAAATCCTAAAAAATGCATATGAAATATCTTATTGCTGTGATCTTTATTTAAATCAAGAGTAGAGATGACAAGGATATTAAATTACATCTGTTAATGATCGTATGTATATCTATTTATCATAATGGTATCATTTAAAGTCAATACACACACATCGGAAATGTCGCACTTTTATTAATGGACGATAAAGTTAGGGTTTTCGCTCTTTCACATAAGTCTTTTCTTTAGTTAGAATGGCAAATGTACTTAACATTTATAATTGGATTGATACTAGGGCTGAAACGATACGACCCCTCCACGATACGATACGTATTGCAATACTTGTGTCACAATTCAATTTTTTCAATACGATACAATTTAAGAACGAAACTATTCATAAGGTTAAAGAAAACGTATTCAGATTTTAAAAAACAAAGAGTAAAAGGTGGTGATACAATAGAAATATACTACCAGGGGTATGCAATCTAAAAATTCAAGTACTAGCCCACAGGCTAGTGGCAGCAATAAAGTTACTAGCCCCAAGTAAAAAGTTATTAGCCCAAATATAGGGACAAAAAATAAATTAAAATAAAACAAATGTTGAAAAAAAAAATTAATCATTGAAAAAGTCAGGGTACTAAGGTCAATCTTTTGAAATTTTATTCTCACTATTAAAATTAAATCATATAAAATTAATGATTATGAAAGAAAATAAAAATGAATTTAAAAAAAAAAAATCTGAAGATCTTTCCTTTTCTGATTATTTTGCAGTAGCTCATTTAGAATGAAAATAAATTCATTTTGTTTTCATATTAAATCCTTAAATACACTAGAAATATATTTCATGTGAATCACACTGATCTTTCAGTTGATTGAGTGATCGTAAATAATTTTAATGAGATATCTGCATGTATTTACAATAAACGGAGGAAATTCGGATTAGGAAAAAAACGATCGTTTTTGGAAGTAAATAAGTCAGGAAGTACTGCAAAATGGAGAAAATTAAGGAGATTTATTGACAGTAGGTGCATGCTGCCTGGAAAATATTCACTGGTTGGGAATTTGAAAGCAAAAAATGAGTAAAATACCGGTTGTACTTTATGTATTACATGTACATGCGTAGTTATAATTTTTACTAGCCCGAATTTACTAATTTGTTAATTGCACATCTCTGATACTTGTGGTTCTGTTGATTAAGAACACTTTATTCGTATAAATAATAGCAGAGGCAGCCTACTCTGAAACTTTACCGTCCCAGTTTTCTCCCTCGTGAGTGTCAAACTGTTAAAATAAGGTCGAACCCGATCTATTTCAAAGAGTTAACCAAACCCGATTATAAAAAAACGTATCGAACCGAAAATCGAGATGGTGAATCGAAAATTGAACCGAGCACTTATATCGAACAATATCGATATTTCGGTGAATCGTTTCAGCCCTAATTGATACTGGCATGTTTTGTATTATCTGCAATCATCGGCAATGCCATGCCGTCCCAGTCAGACGACTAAATGTGCCTCTAAATCTGAAGAGTGCACTAATGGAAATACTACGTATTTCAATTTGAACTACTAATTTACTTGGTTACCTGTAAGGCTGTTGGTAAATACAGAAATTTTCTTTATTATATATGACTGCATTACAGATATCATCTATCGTGTATGATAAGAATTTTAAGTGCAACAGCTCTCTCACTCTATGCTTTAATTATCTCTTTAGAATTGCAGCAGCTGGAAGTGACAACAGAATAAAAATATTTACAACAGATCTGGTGGAAGGAACAGAGGCAGAGGTATAGCATTATCTTTTTTTCCTTAAAAAGATAATTATTAACCCTAACATGCCTACGGCTTTCAAAAAAAAAAAATTGTGAAGTAATTATAAAGACAAGGAAAATCTGTATTCCTCTAGAGCAAAAAAAAAAAAAATGAAAAAATCAAGAAATTATTTTATCTTAAAAGTATACATATATTGAAGAAATGCTACATTTTTTCATATATTGAGTTTTTGTTGTTACCACATGTAGGTACTTGAGGGTCATTCAGATTTTATCAATGCCCTCACATACAACCCAGAAAATGGAGACATTCTGGCCTCAACAGGAGATGATTACACATGTAGGTTATGGGGGAATGATGGTAGTCAACAGGCCTGCTTCCAGCTCAGTGCCCCCGGCATGTCAGTCTGCATCCATGAAAAAGAATCTGGGAAGGTGATGTCTTTCATGTCATACGTAATGGAGTTATCCATTTGTATAGTAACTTGGGCAAATTGCAAAAAAAAAAAACTGTAAAAAGCTTTAATGGACCCTATCTCATTAGCAATTGAAACTTCTTTTTTTTGGTGAAAAATTTAGGTTTAATGATTCATTAAGATTTGAGTAGAGAATAGCCTTTAATCTAATTCTTTATTCAACAGTAAGTATAACACAACAATGTTTCCAAATATTTTGATTAAAAAAAAGGATATCAAGTGCTGTACAATGGTTACTTTGTACTAATATTACTGGTATGCCAGTTTGTTAAAGTTTCTGTTTTGGTTTACAGGTGGTGGTGGCCCAGAAGAATGGAATCATTAAGATGTTCAGCCTTGACCTTCAGCACCAGATCAGTTCCTGTGACTGTGGGATCTCCCCCCTAATGGGGATAGACTGGTGTAGAGATGACGAGGACATCATAGGAGCTGTAGCCGGCACTGAGTGGCTGGTGTTCCAGTTATCTAGGTCAAGGTAAGCTTGAGGACATCATAGGAGGTGTAGCCGGCACAGAGTGGCTAGTGTTCCATTTATCTAGGTCAAGGTAAACTTGATGATGTCATAGGAGCTGTAGCCGACACAGAGGGGCTGGTGTTCCAGTTATCTAGGTCAAGGTAAGCTTGAGGACGTCATAGGAGCTGTAACTGGCACAGAGTGGCTGGTGTTCCAGTTATCTAGGTCAAGGTAAGCTTGAGGACGTCATAGGAGCTGTAACTGGCACAGAATGGCTGGTATTCCAGTTATCAAGGTCAAGGTAAACTTGAGGACAGCCGGAGTAGTGTGGCTGGTGTTCCAGTTATCTAGGTCAAGGTAAGCTTGAGGACATCATAGGAGCTGTAGCTGGCACAGAATGGTTGGTATTCCAGTTATCAAGGTCAAGGTAAGCTTGAGGACAGCCGGAATAGTGTGGCTGGTGTTCCAGTTATCAAGGTCAAGGTTAGCTTGAGGACAGCAGAGGAGCTGTAGCCGGAATAGTGTGGCTGGTGTTCCAGTTATCTAGGTCAAGGTAAGGTTGAGGACATCATAGGAGCTGTAGTAAGCTAAGATAGCTGGTCTTCCAGTTATCTAGGTCATGGTAAGGTTGAGGACATCATAGGAGCTGTAGCCAGCATAGAGTGACTGTTGTTCCAGTTAACTAGTCCAAGATAAGGCTGAGGACATCATTGGAGCTGTAGCTGGCACAGAGTGACTGGTGTTCAAGCTATCTAGGTCAAGGTAAGCTTGAGGACATCATAGGAAATGTAGCTGGAACAGAGTGGCTGGTGTTCCAGTTATCTAGGTCAAGATTAGAGTGTACAGGTAAAAAAAAATGTGAACTCACCTGTAAGCAGTACAGTATCAGTGATTTTGCTCTATGGAACTTTACTTGTTGTTGCAATATGAGTTGTTTACTATTACAAGTTTACAACTTGTATTGTGCCAAAGATTTATGATATATCCCTCTTGTTTTGCAGTCAGCCCTTAGAGAGAAGACAGGCCCACACAGACGGCGTTAGAGACATCAAGTGGTGTAAGAGTCAACCTAATCTACTGGCTACATCAGGCCGACCAGGAAGGCAAATCAAAGTGTTCAATACAAGGCATCACCAGGTAAGGTTATTGATGTTCTAAAGTGATATCTAATTTTTGTCCCTTTCATGCGTTTAAAAAAGTGATAGATTTTTATGGAACGCCAACACTGCCTTATAGCATACAACTATGCATTTTTATGTCAGTTTATCATTACGTGATGTGAACATATCTTTACGTTATGTCAATTTTTTATAAGATTATTTAAAAATATCTTTACATCATGTCAATGCTGCATTACATGAAGTAAATACATCTTTTCATTATGTCAGCACTTCATAACTTGAAGTCGAAAATTCATTATGTGAAGTGATCATAATATGTTTACATTGTGTTAAAACTTTATTATGTGAAATGAATGTTTCTTTACATCATTTCACTTCTTTAATATGTGAGGTCAAAATTGCATTACGTCAAGTGAATTGTGTTTTATAATTAAACTTATCATTACATGAAGTCAAAAACCCATTACTTTTTGAAAGTGTATATTTCTATTATATCAAAGCATTATTACATGATATGGGATTTTCTTTATTTTACGGCGAGAGCATCATGATGTGAGGTGAACACATCTTACCTTTATGTCAGTGCTTTATTACGTGGTGTAAAAAGTGTATGACATTATGTGAACATATCTTTATATTATATCAACACTTTATCACATTATGTCAAAACTCAATTCCCTGATGTGGATATATAATTACGTTATGTCAACTCTTTCTTATGTGATCTTAAACTATCTTTATGTTGTGTTAACTCTTAATCATGTTGATTCCAAAAGTGCATTACCTGATGAAAAAATACATTTACAATTTCTCAAAGCTGTATATCTGGTATAAAATGAATGTTGACGACGGGGGGGGGGGGGGGGGGGGGGGGGGGGTCCTGATTGATTAGGAAGAATTACAGACACAAAATATCAGCCCCCCCTCTTTTCCCAAAGATAACTTTACAATAGAAAATGTAATGTTCATTGAAAGTACAGCCCCCACCCCCACTTTTTGTTGAATTATAGTCCACTGAGGGTAATGTAATATATCTGACAAAAAAATTAGGACTGATCGAAGTTGGACCCCCCTCCCCGAAATAGGATTGTCGGGCTATGAGTGGACAATTATTTTTTTTTTGGCTTCTCAAGTTTTTTTTTCGGGCGAATATTTTTTTCTGGCTGACCCCCCCCCCCCCCTTCTTTCAAAAAAAGATGATACGTCACTGGAATTAGTAATTATTTCAACCATTCCAGGGCCAGAATTCTATTATAAAAATCTACCAATCCCTCATCTAAATCAATTGAATATGTGATTGTCTTAGTAAGCATGCATGGGCACATATCAGTAGCGGATTTGAGAATCTTGAACAAAAATAATTGTCCAAGCCTGAAGGGGGACGGTTTATGGTTGGAGACCAAGGGGGAAAGCGAAGAAGCTCTCAGGCTTTATAGTTTTATAAAATAGTTTTCAACTTAATTCAGCTAAACTCAATGTGAAACTAATGCAATGTCCTACAAAGTAAAACCAATAAATTTATTAATTTTATGTACATGTAGATTTTGGTCACTAGAGATAGTAGGGCGGGATTTCCCCCTCCCCTCAACTAGGGCTGGGACGATCCACCGGTGCACTGATGCATCGCAGTATTCACTTTGACGATATACGGATCGATTCATCTAATTTAGAATCACGATACCTGACCGCACTTTTTTTTAATTTCCAAAAATGTCCGGGCTCTAGAATTCGAAATTTTTAGTCCTTTAGTCTGTATCATCAAGACGTTTAAGCAATCAGAAATAAAGTACAAACGTCTTGGTGATACAGAATTCAAAATACAAGCGTCAGAATGGCGTCAGACACGCCGGATTATGTTAAATCAACAAAAACCCAATGGCAGTAAGTCGGGTTTCTGTTGAATTAGTTTATTTTTTATAATCTGTAATGTTCCAAATTAAATGTTCTAAAAAATATCTAGTTTTATTTGGTTTTAAATGTATCGTGATATGTATCGTATCGCACCTAAGGTATCATGATATGTATCGGATCGGCTAAGTTCAGTATCGTCCCAGCCCTACCCCCAACCCACCAGTGCACGTGTGTTATAACGATGTGTTTACACTTAAAAAAAAAAGGAAAGTTCAAGACTGATAAAAAAAAAAACGTATGACAATGTTCTAAGTAAGATCAGAAGTTTAAGACTTTTATCCAAAAAAAACAAACAAACAAACAAACAAACAATTCAAAATACGAGTAAAAAGAAAAAAAATTGCTGCACGACTCCTAATATTTGATTTATTTAATTATCAGATTAAAGTAAACGCCATTGAATTTCGACGTGACTTTAATTCACAGTCGCAGTGTTAAGGCTTTGCACGTTTCAAGATTGTCAATCCTTTGTCGCTTAAAATTTTTATTTAAAGATGCCATTCCCAAATCGCTGAGATTTCTTCTACGACAATTTTCTCTCCCGCCAATTTAGTGCTTGCGGAACGCGGAAAATACGTTATGCTTATATAAAGGCCGAGGATACCCGTGTTCGCATAACGTAATAGTGAATCGACATAATGTAGTAGTGTAAATTAATATCATAAAGAATTGACATAATGTAATGACAGGTTAACACAATGTTATTGTTGTTTAATTAAATGAACAGTAAACATAACGAAATGCAAGAATGTGTAAATGTCATAAAGTGTTGACATAATGTAAAGGAAGGTTTACACGATGCAATAGTAGTGTAGGATAATATCATTAAAAATTGACACAATATAATGGAAGGTTGACACAATGCAGTAGTAGTGTGGGTTAATGTCACAAAGAGTTGACATAATATAATGGAAGGTTGACATGATGCAATAGTAGTGTGGGTAAATGTCATAAAGAGTTGACATAATAAAATGGAAGGTTGACACAATGGAATAATAGTGTGAGTAAATGTCGTAAAGAGTTGACATAATGGAACCGAAGGTTGACACAATGTAATAGTAGTGTGAGTAAATGTCATATAGAGTTGACTTTATGTATTTAGGAAAGTTCACACAATGCAATAGTAGTGTGAGAAAATGTCATAAAGAGTTGATATAATGTAATGGAAGGTTGACACAATGCAGTAGTAGTGTGGGTTAATGTCATAAAGAGTTGACATAATATAATGGAAGGTTGACACAACGCAATAGTAGTAAGAGTAAATGCCATAAAGAGTTGACATAATGTAATGGAAGGTTGACACAATAAAATAATAGTGGAAGTAAATGTCATAAAGTGTTGACATAATGAAACCGAAGGTTGACACAATGTAATAGTAGTGTGAGTAACTGTCATATGGAGTTGACATTATGTAAAGGAAAGTTCACACAATGCAATAGTACTGTAAGTAAATGTCATAAAAAGTTGACATAATGTAAAGGAAAGTTCACACAATGCTATAGTAGTATGAGTTAATATCATGTAGAGTTGACATAATGTAATAGAAGGTTGACACAATGTAATAGTTGTGTGAGTAAATGTCATAAAGAATTGACATAATGTAATTGAAGGTTGACGCAGTGCAATTGTTGTGTTCTGCTATAAGGCAGTGACGGCGTTCCATAGATTTTGCTACTTTTGCTTTAGTTGCCCGCATGCCACAGTGGGCTAGAGTGTATGCTCAAGAATTGCGGAGTAGGGAGTTGATCCTTATTTTATGGTTTTGAATCCCACTGGGGGTCTTGGAAATGGGTCTTTAAGATATGAGACCCTATAAATGAGGTCCTGTGTTGCAGTAGGTGTTAGCATGAAAAAGATCCCTCATTGCTCAATTAGCCATGTGTGCCAAGTAAAAGACAAAATTTACCAGTAAAGGACCAGCAAAAGGTGGCTTCTCCATATGAGTGAAAAATTCTTGAGAGAAACAATAAACAACAAACAAACAAAGTCTTGCTTTAACCTACAATAGGATAATCACCTTTTGTTGCTAAAACTACTAAACTTACCAGGGTATTTGAAAAAATTGATCGGTTGGCTGAAACTTGTTAGATATGTCATGTGTAATATTAATCCAAGTCATTTATACATCTTTTATTTAATTCATATATTTTATACCTCACACATTTAATATATGAATTAGATTTGCTTTTCTTGACTGATTCTAATTTTAGGTTCCTCTGAATACTTCATTAAAAGTATCCTATGGGATGAGTTGGCATGCTCAGTTACCAGTGTTAGCAGTGGGGGGTGATTCACAGGTCCATCTGTACTACATAGAACCAGCCAGACAACAGACGTGATACTGTCGGGAGATGTTAACACTGTTACAGGACACTTTAAATTAACAGAAAGTACTTAAGGATACTGGATTAGTGATGTTTAAAAGACACCACAGCAACTCTGTTATTGTGAAGTTAAATGTGAACTCAATCTTAATGGTGTAGGAATTTTTACTCAAGCCCTAGAGGGGCTTGAGTTATCTAAAACGATGCTAGGTCATCGAATTACTCAGTTTAAAAACACAAAAATATATTATTTTCGTAGATAAAAATATTTCTAGAAACAAAAATGAAGCTTATCTTGAAAACGTCAGTATATTCAAAGATATTAAGTGTTAAATATCGGATTCTTTTCTATGGCGAATGATCAATGAGTGACGCTCCTCAGCCGCAACAGTTTCTTTACAGAGAGTTCGCGCTTTCCTCTGCGTAGGAATCTCAGGTAACTTTTTACAGTCGCCGACAAAGCATCCTTGGACGAGTCCACTTCAGACTCTGAAAGGTGACGCAGGTTACCCCATCGTAACAAATTCTACTATGCATGGCCAGAAAATGTATGGCTGTACCCCCTCCCCCTTCAACTGAAATTGCTTTTCACGGACTTGCAAATATTATGTTCTTTGAGTGACAGTAAAATAATAGCACAAAATCATTGTTAAATTCTCGTATTATCTTAAGCTTTTGTAATGGAACCTATATGTCATAATAACTTCTTTAGAATTCGTACGGAATAGGTATTGGACATGCCACTCAGCTAGGTGAACCCCATCGTCTCAAGCTACGGTCCGGAGTAGGAGAGGATCGTACATTTCGGCCGTGGATTGCAACGATGGATAAATCTGTAGTCACGTGGATTTTTGAGCCCCCCCCTCTTCCACTTTGAAAAACTTGCTTGTAGCAAGCTATTTAGATTGATGTATATATTGAATGTAATGTACGTCATTAAGCAAAAAATGCTAAAAAGTATATAGTTTTAAGTATACTAAATGTCATTAAGCAAAAAATACAAAAAAGTATATAGTTTTGAGTATACTAAATGTCTACATAAAAAAATATTTCATGAAATTAAGATTAGAAACGGCAACGTTACTATGGTCTATGAAAATATTCCTGCAAGTGTGTCACTGAGGTAAATTCATCTTAAAAAGTAGTACGATTTATTATATTTCTTCTAATTAAATTCAATGTATGAATTTTGTTTCGTGTACATGTAGTTTATTCAACAAAAGATTGAACTCCATAGCCTTCATCTTGGAGCATTTTTGGACATTATTGAAACTTCTGAATTAACCTTCTACAGCTTGAGTATTTCTGACGTTTTGTCAGTATATACTTGTTTCTCTCTTGAGAGAATAAAAATATCTCCTAATACTGAAATTACATACTGTAAACCAACTTTTATTCGCGACGACTTTATTTCGCGATTTAACGGTTGTAAATTAGTTCGCAACGATAAAATTTCGCGATCAATTCATCAATCCGCGAAAAAAAGTTGGTTTACAGTAGCTGAGAATGCAAGGATAGAAACTGCATGTAATGAGATAAACTGAAAATTCTGTTTTTATTGCTGGAGATTTCTTTGTAGCAAATTGGTATTTGATTGCATATAATTGTATATTTTGTAAATTCATTTATAAAGTAATTGCAAGGGACAAAGGTTTTTCATCAATAAAAGCCGAAGGCTCAAGCGAGCTTTTCTGATCAAAATTTGTCCTTTGTTTGTCACCGTCTGCATTATTGTAAACTTTTCACACTTTTCATCTTCTTCTCAAGAACCACAGGGCTAATCTCAACCAAACTTGCCACAAAGTATCCTTTGGTAAAGGGGATTTAAGTTTGTTCAAATTAAGGGCTATGTCCTCTTCTAAGGGGAGATGATTATGAATTATCAAAGAATAAATGTTAACTTTTAAAAATCTTCTTCTCAGGAACCACTGGGCAAGGAATGATTAAACTCTTGTGGAATTAAACTCAGGTAGTGTAGATTCAAATTTGTTCAAATCATGACCCCTGGTGTTAGGGCGGGGCCACAATGGCTGATCAAAGTTTTACATACAGTACTTAGGGACACAACCTAGAACACCAGAGTGAATCCAAAGCAGACCCCAGGTTTGCTTCGGGTCTGCTTTCAGAAATTTTTTGGAGGGACCTCTCTGGGTGCGCCTTTAGGTCTGCTCCACGTTTTCTCAGGGTCAGCTCTGGGTCCACTAGAGCGAACCTGGCATTCCCATTCTGGGAAATGAGTGCGTGAAGCATTCCCATTCTGGGAAACGAGTGCGTGAAGCAGACCTCGCTTTAAGGTTTCGTCAAAGGTCAACATGTCTAAAAAATTATTTTTACAATTGCTCCAAAACTGTGTGTGGTATGAAGTCAAAACGTTAACATTTTGAAAATATATCACTGATTAATAGATAGAAAGTATCACTTGATAACACATATTTTTAAAAAGATATTTTTTGAGAAAAATTGTATCAGAAAATGTGCATATCTTTCAATAAATGCACCTGCTTAATTCTGTCCTTTTTGTGAAAACCAACATTGTAGAAATAATATATGTTTATCATTGAAGGGCAAGTTGGACGTGAATGGTCTCTGAAAGGCTGTTACTGAAAACGTGACATGTATAAAGACAAGACCCCTATAGAATCTGCCATTTGCAGTCTACTTTCACTTTCAAGTCTTAACATTTCGACAAAATAAACAGGGAAATTAACTTTCCAGAGGCTATCCAAGTCCAACTTGCCCTTTATTGATAAACATATTTTGTTTCTGCAATGATGGTTTTCATTAAAAGCACGGAATTAATTAGGTGTATTTTTTTGAAAATATATGCAATTTTTAGAAGAATTTTTCTCAATTAATATCATTCCAAGTATTTTTTTTATCAAGTGATAATTTCTATCTGTTAATCAATAACCAATTTATAAACTGTAAAAGTTTTAACTTTCTACCTTACATAGTTTGGGGGCTATTGTAAAAATAAATTTTTGGACATGTTGACCTTTGACGAAACCTTAATCTTACCACCAGTAAGACGCATGCCTTGTTTATTCCAATACAGTTTGTGGGCTCGTGGAATCTATTATTGTTTTTTTGCGGCGATTGCTACATGTAGACTGTACATGTATACAATGTACAGTGACATTTATGGAGAACATTGATAAATTTTGCCGAATTCAACTGTGCATTCGATGTTATTTTATAATTGATTGCTCTCAGAATTTCGATCACGAGAAATTCCATGTTATTAAACAGCGGGGCTATTAGGCATTTATTTTTTGAGGCGCATCGTTTTCGATGCAGCCTCATTGCGATCACCTGGCAATTCTTTCTTAACTGCGGCGGCAAAGGACTCAACAATATTGATTCTTAACACGTTATTAAAAATAGTGCTAATGTTGGCGATTTCCATTGTTAATTTTAAACTGCTAATAACACAAAATCTCACACATACATGTTGTTTTAACTTTGAATCAACAGAGGTTACGAAAAATGACAAAAATAATCTTTTTCTTGTTTAATTCCATTAACCCTTTCCAGTGCAAGTTGGCAATTGCAAAAAACATTAATTTGTGCACATTTATGAGCAATAAGTGAGATTCAAACAGGCTTAAAGACCCCCGCAATCATCGGTTGATATGTTAAAAATGCAACTTCCGTTAAAAAAAAAGTGCTCGCATTAATAAACGCAACGGTAGAAAATTTATTAAAATTCAAAACATGAAAGCATGACAGTTTTTGTTCATTTTAATACCCACCATGACTTGCGGTTCAAACGCCTTGCATGTTATCGGATGAAACTGAGGGTATCCAAGGCAGGAAATATAGCGTAATTTCACTATAATAGTGAGATACCACTATTATAGCGGAATTTACGTTTCCCCCCAACCTGTTTAAATCATAGTTAAAATGGTTGACAAACATCTGAATTATGATATCTCATCTATAAATGAACCTATTGTACACGTTATATGTATATATTTCATTTATAGTAGTTAAACATTGAAAGTTGTAGTAATTGTAATAAATATTTACCAGCCAGACATTTTGTAATAAATAAAATTAGATTATATCAGATCTTTATTATGCTAAGAACTATGGAGCTAGCATGATTTTAATCAGTATGAAAAAAATAATTACAATAATTTTTCTCTCAAAAAGAATATATTAATACCCCCCACTTCACATACAAACATCAATGAAATTAAAAATTATTTTAAAAAATATTTCTTAATATTTGAATATAAAACAAGCATTCTGAGATTATTGCTTAAGCAATACATGTCCCCTACCGGGTGTGGATGCTTTTAATCTAATAAAATAATCCACATGAAGACAAAAATTCAACTCATTTTTTCAACATCTTTTTCTCGCTTCATATTCACCATGTTGACGTTTGGAATTAAGCGCATCACGAACTCTATCTCCAACCATTTTGAAAATGCCATAACTCTGTCAAAAATCAATGAAGCAAAACTAAATGCAAACTTGATCTGTAAAAATTCAGCTCAATATCTGCAAGCTTTTAGAAAAAAAATTCCGAAAATCAAGTAGGACAGACTGACAGACAGAGGGATGGATGGACGGACGCACAGACAGCTAGACGGACAGACAGAGGAAACCTATAGTCCCCGGTTACAAAAAAAATCCCAACTTTTACTTTGGCCCTAATTTTTAAACAGGAGGTACTTAGAATTACATATTTCAAATATCAATTCTTTCAGGCAAGACATTCCATTTAAAACCAACAAGATCTTGGACATTTCCGTACAAATGAAAAAAACTTTAACATTGGCCGTAACTTTTGAGTGGTAAGGGCTAGGGCTTTCATACTTCACATATGTAATCCCTGTGACAAGACCTTTCATTGCATATCAACAACTTCAAAAGTTGGATTTTGACCTACTTTTTACAGACTTGAACCTAGGCCATAACTTTTGAAAGGTAAGAGCTAGGCCTTTCATACTTCACATATGTAATCTTTGAGACAAGACCTTTCATTGATACTAAGAACTTTGACCTTGAAGTTTGACCTATTTTTAAAAAGTAAACCTTGACCATTACTATTAAGTGGTTAGGGTAAGTGCTTTCATACTTTACATATTTATCACTGTGACGACCTTTCATTTGATAGAAAGACCTTTAACCATAACCTTGGAGTTTGACATACTTTTATTAGCTTCGTCCTTTACCTATTGTCATTGGCTTTGCGCATGCGTGAGATAAAGCGGTAGTCTTAAAAAAGGCTCCGAATATTTTTTAACTTTTTCTGTTATTTAATCGTTTTAAGTCAGTGAAATATTGGGATTTAGTGTCTTATATCCTTTGGAAAGATGATGTTCGGGAATGGAGCCTGGAACCGCGATGAAGAAGACAAAGAAAAGAAAGAATAAGAATGTAAACATCAGTGGTGAGAGTGAACAGAAAATTCGTGTGAGTACTAATCAAGCTTCAATACCAAGAATCCACAGTATGAATCCTCAAAATGCACAAATTAATGCAAGTATGTGCAATCCCACCATTATGCAACACTCAACACCTAATACAAGTTCAAATTATCAAGGAAATGGTCAAATCAATCAGTTCAACCCGTATGGGCCCCCAGGTCCTCAAGGTCAGTTCGCTGGTTTTGTCTCATCAATAGCCAGTCAACCGAATCAACAACAGTTCGATATACGTGACGCTCTGAAAGCTATGTCAGATAAATTGGAAAACGTGTCAAACAAGCTGAACAAACTCGATCTAATTGACAAAAGATTAGGGGAATTAGAAAAGAACGTAATAACCACAAACGAAGAGCTAAAGAAAATGAAGGCTAAAATGGGTGACATGGACGAGGGCCTGCATTTCTTAAGCAAACAATATGAAGATCAACGTACCGAAGTTAAACAAATAAAAGAATCGGTGGTCCAGATCAGGAAAGATCAGAGGTCATAGTGGAAGAGAACAAGACTGTGATATCTGAGCTCCAGACAGTGAAAAACAATTTATCTGACCTGAATGAACGACACCTGGATCTTCAAATGCGAACAATGCGGGATAACCTTATCTTTGACGGAATCCCAGAAGCTCAAGAGGAAGATACAGAGGCAGTTTTGAAAGAATTTATCCACACTGTAATGGGCATCGAGGAGGAAATACAGTTCCACAGAGTACACAGACTTGGGAGGAAAATTCCAAATAAACACCGCCCAATTATTGCAAAATTTGTGTTATTTAAAGAACGCGAGAGAGTAAGAAGAGAGGCCCCCGTCACGCTAGTCGGAAAACCATTTGGGGTCAACGAACAATATCCAAAGGCTATAAACGACCGTAGGAAACTACTCTATCCACACTATAAGCAAGCAAAGCGACAAAACAGAAAAGCGGTGATGGTAGCGGATAAGCTTTTTGTAGATAACGTTAGAGTCTATCCATCAGACCCACTGCCCGATGACAGATTGGTACCAAACCGTAGCCAGTATGCACCTGCCA